AAATATCTCTTTGTTGTGCATATCTAACAACAGCTATTCTGCTTCCCTTTCTGTCATGTTAGTTTGTTGATCAAAACAGGATAACTGTTATTGGGACATTTTAATGAGTGCCCTGGAAAATGAATTTCTACTGATTATTTCCTGTTGCAGGACTTAGAACACTATAATTTTCTAACCTGTCCGGCTGCCAGAATGCACTGAATGATGATTGTTGTTAGGCATTTTTAAGGAATCTGTGCAGGTTGGAGAAATCTTCCCAGCAGGTATTTAGCTGTGCCTAAATCTCTTCTACCTCATACTTTTGTGAGGAAGGGAGGTTGTAGGGGGAGGGGAACCATACCCCTCTTATGGAATGTGGTCAAAGTTAGGGCCCCTCTCTTTCCTCAGAAAAGAATATGTACACATACAATGTTCAATAGTCTTTTACTGATTTGTGAGCCTCACTGTATTGATGGATAAATCAGATTTTCCTTGTTATGGGAGAAGAGCTCACATTCACATTTTGAGTTCTCATCCATGTTGGTGGAGGAACCCTTGCCTGTTGCTTTTCTGAAGAGAGCCTGTCAGGCATATGCAATTTTCAAAATGGCCTTAAATTTTGTTAAAATGGGATGATGGATAGGTGTTGAATAGGTAGCAATTAAAATTTCAAATCCTTTCTTTCTGAATTTATATGTTTTGATATATATCATGTTTTTAGCTCTGCTGGAGTCATAGATTAGATTTTTTTTTCCCAAACATAGAGGAGTGATCTTTAGTTTATAGCATTTTGTTACATTACATTGAAAGTAGTTCTCCCTTTTCCTCTCCTGGTTGGTATCTGTCACCACCAACCATTCGCTTGTACAAAGGCAGGAGAATGAAACTGTTAAAAGCACAGACTTTGGAGTCAGAGCATCCCCATTAGAGTACATTTTCTCTACTTGCTGACCAGTCACTTGGAACAAGTCACTCAATTCTCTAAATCCAATTTCCTCACTAGTAACCTGGCAATGATAATAGTATTCACCTTAGCAACATTAGAGGATTAAATGAGTTAATGTTTATAAAACATTTAGAACAGCATCTGGCATGTAGTAAGCACTGAATGCTTGACAGCAAAGGTTTTCAGCTGTGGTGGGTCTGTCACGAGTGGTTAGTACAGTAATAATGGAGTAAAAATGGCAGCACTTTTTTTATGAAATGGAGAATGTCAAAGTTTATTGCCAAGGTATTTCTTGATGTCAGTTTAGCTTGTATTTCTTTTTATACTTCATTACTAATTCCTCAGATATTTCAAAACAGCATACCTAAAGTTACCAAATGCCACATACTATGTTAAGAATCTTACTTATTTCTCATAACACTCCTGAAAGTAGGCAATATTTGTACCCCATTTTCTACAAGGGGGAATGACCTCACCTGGAAATGATAGATACACATTCTGGCTAACAGGCCAGTGAATGGTTGTGCTGAGATGCATTTCTGGTGTATCTGACTCCAGAACCTTTCCTCTTACTGAGAAACAAAAGGGAACAAGAGTGCTGAAAATGTTGAGGAATAAATACACTGCCTGTTTTTCTGTTGTCTACTCAGTAATAATGGGCTATTCATAGATGAATACATCAACCATCGATGGCAAAATATTATGGAAGACTAACAGTGGGTTATTAGTGATAATTGCTATTGGAGTATGAGACAAAATGCTTTATGGGAGGAATATTCCTGCATATTTAAAAGTAGTAGACCAACCTTGAATACCACCTCAACTATTTTAAAGGTCGTTCTGAGATGAAATGAGTTCATCCATGAAAAGCATTCTGCACAGACTCTGACACACACACAGCAGGTGCTCAATAAATGTTAGCTGCAATTAGTTACTGTCACTGTGATTGGCCTTCAATTCTCAGAGGCTCTTCATGATTCTGGCCTACTTCCCTGAATTTTTAGGAGTTAAGTGATACTCAAAGTCATGTAACTCCTTCATAACAGTCCCAAACCTTGTCTTTGATCCAGCTTACTGTAAGGCCTAGTTGTTTCATTCATGCAAACCAGACCAACTTCCCAACGTCGATCCAGATGCTAGAGAAGTCTCCCTGGCCACACCAGACTAGGATCTGGATATTTATTGGTTCATCCTTTGAAATAAGTTCAGCAGTGGATTTTCCTTGTGTGACTTTGGAACACCACAACTGTGATTTGAAATATTTTACTAAGATACTTAATATATGCTCACCTAGCACAGTGTTTGGTGAGATTTCAAAATTTGTAAATTTCCTTTGTAGCCTTCCCTCCTTTCGTGAAGTCCCAATATACTAATGTGTTAATGAATATCTTATTACCTTCAAAATCTTATTACTGTCCTATAACATATAGTATGAGGTTATGAAGTATCTTGTGCTCCATGCATAGTCATAATTTCCCTACTTTGAAAAATAGTTTTTTTTGGAAATGAAATGTCTAGACAGATTTTGAACCTGGAAAAAATAGCTGCTTGGCCTCAGGTACTTGAGCTTGAAAATTGATACTTTCATGAACATTTAATTTTTAAAAGTGTGGACAAGATGATTGCTATTTTTGATGTTCTAGTTCCTATAAAAATGATGTCATTTATTTTTTACAAAAAGTACAACTTTTCCATCAATGAAAATTTTTATGTCTTTTGTAGTGCTTGTTTAAATCTCTTATACTGCTTTAGGTTAAAATAAAAAGTGTTTGTAGAAGAGCCTCATTATAGTCATCAAACCAGTGGGTCTGAATTTGAACTTTGGTGTAATTTTTGTATACAACTATAACTTGTAATGAGAGGGGAGTTCTCTGATTCTTTAGCTGCAAATTTATGTCAATAAAGGAAATTTATAAATTAGGCATTAAATTGGAATATTTAATTTGCAGCTATTATGAAAATAATCACCAAGATTTATTTGAATTCTATAGATAGAAGTAAAAATAGCACATATATACTGAGGATGGCCTATGCTACACCCTTAACTGGGCTAAAGTCCTTGGTATACTATTTCATTTCATATCATTTTGGTGGTAAAAGAAAACCTGTTTTGCTGAAATCAGCAGCTAGTAAATTGCAGAGCTAAGATCCAAATCTCACACTGTCTGACTCCCAGCCTGGATACTAAGCCACTTATTTCTGCATCCTCTGTACTAATATATTCTGTTCTATCCATTAAGCTACTTTACAGAATGTTGTGTGGGTTAACCCACACCATAGCTTCCTGGAGGAGGTAGACATACATTAGCTCCATTTAACAAACAAGGAAACTGATGCTTAGGAAGAACAAATACTATTCCAAGGGTTCACCGTTATTCTTTATTATTCCTCTGGAGATCTTATGTCTATAATAAATGAAGGATTTTTTCATGTGCTATTTTTGTGCTATTTTGAGACTGAAGTTTATTGAAATTTAATTACAAATCTTTATCATATGATTTAAATTTGCTATGTGTATTATGTGGTCCTGTGATGACTCAGAATTCCTTAAATGACTTTTTTCTCTTCCTTCAAACAAAAATCTTAGCAGTACCACTGCAAAATACCAGTGTGAAATGTCATAAAACAGGTTATTCCAGCCAAGAATCTGAGGTGAGGACAGCTTTAAATTGTTCAGGCACATTAAAATCAAATTAGGGTGGAAATGCTGGCAGTTTTTCAGAAAAGATACTCTATGGCACATTAAAAAATGTGTCCCCTAGTGAGGATGATCAAGAACTTGGACATATCCATATTTGTAGTCACAGAAAAGGAAAATCGATCATTTCCCTCATGTTGTCAGCACCATGCAATACACAACTCTCCTTTGAATAACTACGTAAACATTGCAGTGATTTTTTAATTCGTTTTGCTTATTATCATAAACATCGTCCCACGTTAGGAAGCAAAATTTATTAAGATGTTTATAGTTAGGGCCTCCCTGGTGGTGCAAGGTATTAAGCACCACACTGTGAAGCAATTCACAGTCTCTGCATCATGAGTTCAATCCCCAGCTGGCCAGGGAGAAACCCCCAAGGCAAGGCAGACCTCTCCTGTCTTGTCCGCTGCTCCCTTCAGCAGTGTATTTCAATCAATCTGCCTGTTCTGTTCCCCACTCTGTCTCTGCTGGATCCTCTCACCCCCCCCCGCATCTCTGGCCTGTGCCCCAGTTCTTATATGCATAAATAAATCTTTAAAAAAAAAGATGTTTATATTTAAAATACCCAAATACCTGAACCATTCATGGCATTTTTTAAATGAAATCAAGAAATTTTACTTCAAGAAACAATATATTCATCATTCTCTATTTTTCTTTTTGCCTGAACAAGAAAATACACTAATAAATGTGGTTGGCTTACCAAGTGATAAGCATAACTAATTAATTTAAATGTCTCATATAAAATAATATATTAAAGATTAAGGATGTTAATGCAGTAAGCGACCATTCATACTCAATAAAGGAGCATGTTTCACTTTCAAGGTGGATGGTACATCATTCAACAATCAGATAAATATTAAATTCATGGCGAGGCAGACCTCTCCTGACTCACCCACTGCTCCCCTCAGCAGTGTATTTCAGTCCATCTGCCTATTCTGTTCCCCACTCTGTCTCTGGTGGATTCTCCTCCACCCTCCCCCAACTGCCGCATCTGGCCTGTGCCCCAGCTCTTATATGCATAAATAAATTAATCTTAAAAAAAAAAATAAATTCAGGTCACTTTAGTCAACTAATGTATATGTTAAAATAAAAAATTAAATGCTTTATTTGAGGAAACTCTGAAGTATGTAATATGTGGATAAAAGGAAACCCATCTTCAGTAGCTATGAGAGAAACCTAGGCTCTTGGTAATGTCACAAGGAGCCTTAGAACAAGTTATCATCTGACTCCTTGGGCAAATGAGCTTACCTGGCTTACTGCTAAATAAAATGAGCATTTGTCGCTTGGGGGTGCTGACAGCAAGACAATGGAGGATGCAGTTGTGTTAACAGTCCTTTTAATGTCTCTCTGGCATGTTGGTGCTCTGCTCTCTTGCAGGTGGACGGCAAACACCCCGATGAGGCAGCCTTGATCCTCCACAGGAGGGGATTTGATTGCCGCTTCTCTCACAGAGACACAGGGCTGTTTTGTTCCACTACCCAGGGAAAGGTGAGCTGCAGGGATACATAAAGTTAGTGTGCTTTGAAATCCTTACTTTCTGCAAATAATTCTGACAATATGGTAATGTTTCATGGTTTCTTCACTGACTCGTTCCCCTCAGCTACAAATTAGCTGAAGTCTTCCCATCCTGAGAAAGCATTTCCTCAACCTTTATGCTCCTTTTGACATCAGAATGCACATCTGGTGCATATGTACATTTGAAAACCCTGTTGTCATTGATACTGAGGCCTTCCATTTCCAAACTACAAAACTGTTACTTTCTGTTTTCCTTCACCACCATATTTCCTCCTCCCAGACATAATCGTGTATGATCTTGTTCAGCAATCACAAATCCAAATTTTCCAGAAGCCAAAGCAAATTTTATAATAATCAAAGCAGAGTAGGGTAGCAATAGGAAAGCAACAGGGAACATTGAAAATATGGCCAGTGGGTCTCCCTGGTGGCACCAGGGTTTGTCTTCACACTATGAAGCTATCAGCAGCCTCTGCAGCACAAGTTTGATCCCCAGGCAGGGAGCTACCCACATGGTACACCAGACCTCTCCTATCTCACCTGCTGCTCCCCTCAGCGTTATATTTCGGTACATCTGCCTGTTCTCCCCCACTCTGTCTGTGATGAATCCTCTTATACCCCACACCAGTGGCCTGTACCCCAGTTCTTATATGCATAAATAAATAAATCTTTAAAAAAAGAAAATATGGCCAGTGGGATAATTCAGTCATGGCCCACCAGGCAGTTGTAATTCCTCCAGTCACTTATTATCAGATGGGAACAATACTATTCAAGATCTCATTAAGCCAGATTTGCTTATGAGTCCACGTTGCTGATTGAGCAGATCCTCAGGCTGGCACTGCTTGCTGGCTGCCCATTTAAATTTCTCTTACATTGGTCTTGCTTACAGTTCCATGAAGCCTGTCCTTAGAAGGAAGTGAGCCTCTGACTCTGAGCAGGCTGTCACTCACAGAAAGCCACTGGGCTGGTTCTAGCACTCAGGCAGGTCTGCCTCAATGCACAGCTCAGCTGACCCTAATCTTCTCCAAAACCCCAAACATATTTTGTAGACCAGATTCAAGTGATTCTGTTCCAGTCCTGTAAAACATGACCATCAGGTCTGAAAAGAAAAAGAAAATGTGATAGGGATCTGGCATTTCTTTTACTTTAACAGACACACTAATGTCTGTTACTTTTTAAATTATATTTGCTCTCCTCTTTATTATTGACCTTCTGAATATATTTGTGAGCGTGTGTGTACAAATATTAAGGCATTGAACCTTAAGGAAGTCATACGATCCAGAAAACCATATTATTAGAATAACCTGGTGGCTGAGGGTAGTATTTTCTAAGTATCCTCATCCTACAAAAATGACTCTGATACCCTGAGTCTTCCTTGTGTCCCCTGTCTCTCGGCTCTGTTGGAATAGGGAAAAAATGGTTGAGCACAACCACTGTTAAGGTAAATATAGGATGAAAGAGAGTACAGCTTTATGGCTCACCAATGCCCTTTCTTAAATGGAAAAAGTGGCCCCTGCATATAGTTAAGTTTTCAAGCAATACAGAAAATGAATGCCAGTCAAGTCACCCTCATTGTTACCAATTCCCTGTGTCTCCCTCCAGAGAGGGTCTTCGTTTTAAAGCGCTTGCAGGTGTATTTTCATCTCCGTTGCCCACCTCCCTTTTTCTTTTCCTTAAAGAGAACTTCAAATATACTGTTTTAGTCTTACCTGCACTACTTTTCTCTAAACAGAAGTGCATAGCTAATCTTTGTCCAAAGGTAATCTAAATATGCATTTTTATCATTTTTTTTTTTTTAGATATTGGTACAGAAACTTTTTAGCAAGTTTACCGTTGCAAGTTTCATACCTTCATCATTATCCTTGATGCATTCACCTCCAGATGCCCGGAATATAAGTGAAATCAAGTTGAGTCCCATGGAAATCAGCACATTCCGAATCCAGTTGAGGTGAACCTGACTTCGTATTTGGATTGGGAAACATTAGCTTTTATATACTTCTTGATTTTACGTGCAATAAGGAAGCACATTATTTAAGCTTCTGGCTACTGTGAGAACATGAGTTCTGTGATTTTTTTTTTTCAATCAGTTCAGTTAAAAAGAAAAGCCATGCTATGAACCATTTTTTTTTAAGTACCCTCTATGATCTGCCAACTAAAGTATGAATTGATTCTACAAATGAAGAAATGTCTAAAGACAACCTCTCAACATACTGTATCTCAGGTTATATGCTAACTAATTATATCTGTGTTGGGGTTGTGAAGAGATTGTTCTAAGTATTCATATTGCTGATCCTTTGTTAGTCTTACTAAAATACCCGTTTTTACCAAAATGGAATAAAAAGCTGGTGGGTAATAGCTAATGGCCAAAATGGTTGCAATTACTCATACACATGAGAAAAAATTTATGTGTTGAAATATGTGGAAAAGTGCAATCCATCAACCCTTATGATATATATATATATATATATATATATACACACATAGCTGATTTTCACACCTTTTTCTAATATACCACTTGACCCTACCCTTCCCACCCTTTCTAAGTATTTCCAGAAGTATCAGATTTTAAATCATTCAATAGTAGAAAAAGAAGCATATTTTCATTACTTGACAATGTGGGATAGGTGCAATTTATTCCATTGTCACTAAAATAGAAGAAGCAATTCCATAGGTACCATAACCTACTTTAGGTACCACAAGGTGTCTTTTTACACAGCTCATTTGAATACAGATGTTCTGAAAAGGGGTTTTCTATTTTAACATTACCATATAAAAATAAATGTGCCTTATTTTTTTATAAGTCTTGTTAAATTTTTTGGTGTCCATATTACTGTTTGGGGAAGGGGGGAGGTTATGGGTTGGGGGAGGGCATGAGTGCTTTCTATACATAAATTGTATGATTTTTGCCTGATATTGCTGGCCACATTCTGACTGGGTTCATTGAATTTGTGGTGATGTTACTCTAAACGTTTTGACTATTTGAATGTACTAAGATGTCAGAAAACAAAACAAGGAAGAAAAATACTGTTAATTAAATATGCTGCTGCCAAGGAGACTGCAACTTGAAACAAGGGTTTGGTAACATGCAAAATTCACATATTGTTTCCATTTTTATGGGAGTTAACCATATTGAAGAGAGAATGCTTTAAAATAGACCCTGTTTTATACCCACTTATATGTAATCCATCATGATTTATCTTATTTAAAGAATATTTGTTCAGTGAATTCCAAACTTGTGTATGCGCTAACCTCAAAGTGAAGTTCTGAAGCCATGTGCCATTACAATATTTCTGATAAAATTTATTTGGGATCATTGTTAACTGGACATTAAAATAAAAGCAACATTGGCATCATTTTCAACATTCAATTTTAGCAGGATTTTTTCTACACTGCAAAATTCTCTTTGTGTTAGCTGATAGACTTAGTATTATCTGACTTTAAACTTCCTGTATTCTAACCTCTTTGTAAAGAAATTAAAACCTAATTTCTTTGTCATTATGTAGTCTGATTATCATCTGGATTTTCAATCAAGATGCAGCTCCTGAGATTGTTATGTTAAATTCATAAACTTCTTTTGCCTTTAATAATTAAGGAAACACTACCAGTGTTGATAAAGATATTACAAGGGAATAATTTCATGCAATAAACATGTACTGTAAGTTTCCTTTCTCATTCTGGGGAGACAAACAACTGAAAAAAGAAAATGCTTCCTTTTTGTGGACATCTACAGATGTTAGGATTGCTAGAAGCAAATCCCAGGAATAAGATCAGTGTTTTCATTGCATCTTAAATGTAAAACCTTCCTCTGGGAGTTCCCTGTGTTTTGTGGTTAAGTGGATGTACTTAATTGTTCCAGAAATTCTGATTAGTTGAAGTAAACAATCTTGATGCAATAACAGTGGTTTTGGCACTTCTGGTTGTTTGAAATGGATCTGTTCCACTTCAGCCAGGGTCTTACTCAATGTGTGTTGCCACCAACTGTTCACAAGTAAAGCAGAAATTCTCTTTAACCAGCAAGTTTCTGCTTTTCATTTTTAGAATAAATCATCAGGGAAATGAAGAGAGGATGCTTTTGCTTTGGTTGTGGTCAAGAACTGATTAAATAATTTAGTGTTTCTAGCACACACTAAAAACCATATACTTAAGTCGTGATCTCTGTGACTTATTTGTTTGCTTAGGTTTCATTACATTTATTATCACAGATGTTCAGTTGACCAAGAAGTTCATTCACTTTTTTTTTTTTTTAATTTTTAATTCGGGGTTATAACTGCAGTGTTTGATAACTCAAGCATCCTTCTTTTCTACAAATACTGAATAAAATAAAATGGTATAAATGTATTGTAAAAACATTGTAATTACCTTCCCTTGTCTTTATTGTACTTGTGCTAAAATATTTTCACATTCCTTAGAAGAAAACCTTTGCTTTCCTTTTGATTATATGCTTACCTTGGAATCGATAAGTTTTGATATTTTCTCTTGAAAGATTTTATATATCTTTTTGGGAATATGTAATATAAAATCTCTAATAAAAGATAAACCTTATGTGCATGGTTCTCTAGAGTATGTTCTTAAATCTAATTTTTTTAAACAAGATACAAAAACATTTTGAGGGCTAGAATGAGTGATGGCCTGTTCTTTCACCTTTGAGGCTCAAGTTTAGGAAGTAGTGTAGTACCCATGAGGTTTTCTAAGCCAATTAGAACATAGGCAGATTATGGTCAGAGTCCATATATTCCAAGACACAGTGAGGAGGGGAGTAAGCCAAGACATGAAACTAACAAGCTCCATGTGAGCCAAACCAGAGGTAAGGCGAATTAGAAGAATGTGTCTGGGGGTGCTTCAACAACCCACCAGCCCTTACTAGCACCCAGCTTTAGTGGCGTTCAGAGGGTTGCTTTAAAACCCAGAGGTGGAAAAAAATAATAACAATACAAAACACAACAAAACAAAAACAGGCAATTATAAACCAGAGACATCCTGCAGGGGAGGAGGGATCAGAGGGAAGGAGGGGGAGCCCAGGGGACTGTGGTGATGCTGCACTGGTGAATCGGTGAAGGAAATTATATGGGGACTACACCTGGGGTGGGGGGTGGTGGTAAGCAAACATTATTTAAAAATGAACAATGATATAAAATATATACAAGTAAATTAAAAAAAAATGGAAATACCATATGATCCAGAAATCCTACTCTTGGGCATCTAGACAAAGAACATGATGCCATCAATGCAAAAAACTGTATGTTCTACAATGTTCATAACAGCATAATAGCTAGGAGAATAAAGCAGCCTAAACATCAAAAAAAAAAAAAAAAACACTACAGGTAGGGGTTGGCGAAGGATAAATATCCTGGTACATGTAGCATAGTGAGGCGAATGTTAATTAAGAATTAAGAAGTTTGGATTTGTTAAAGGTGACTTAATAAAGAGCTTAATCATGTTAATTTTTAATATATATGCAAAATTATAAAAGCAAATGCTAATAAAGAGATTTCATAAGCAGATGAGAAATGTCTTTGGCTCCCTAATATTTGGCTATCAACATGTTAAAAAGTTATAATATTAAAACTGGTAAAGAAATACTTAGTTTAAGTAGATATATGTTCATATACCTCCTACAGAACTGTAATAAGAAACCAACTAAGGATGATCGTGACCATGGATGGCTAGAGGGGAATGGGGAGAGGACTAGCCAGGACTGAGTTGCTGCCATATGACAAAGCAGGTGCCTTAGAAGTTGTAATGGGCAAGGATCCTTCAGTATTAACCAGCTTAAGCAAAGAACTGGTAATTTCCCGTCCCGGGTAAATAATGTTCAGGGGTAGCTTGAACATTCCAAAGATAGCTGTAGCCACGTATGAGTTGGTGCCATTCAGGATCTCTTTTATCTCTTGGTTTCTCTTTCCTGATTCTCACAGAAGTACTGCATGTTTGATGGCAACATGGCTGTCAGAGGACCCAATCAGAATAGTGACCCCAGTAGAAATAGCACCTTTATCTAGTTTTTTAGCAAAAGTCCTTGGCCACATGATAGTAACAGTGGCTAAGGTTACAGTTAGTTTCAGCTAAATCACATGAACAAAATGAGTGAGAAATAATGTCACCACCACCCCACAGAAGATGGAATTGTATAGCAAGGGAGTTGGATGCTATGAAACTTTAGAAAGTAAAAAGGCAAGCACAATAGAAATACACTGCAGAGGAAAAAAAAAAATCAAATGTGTGGCTTTAAAGGAAGCACAAAACACTCCTAATTTCAGTTTCAGAAAAGGTTCTATGGAAGTGGTAGACTTGAAATAGTTTTAGAAGGTGCATTTGATTTTAGCAGATACAGACAATAGCTGTGTTTCCCATAAAGACTAGAAAGAGGAATGAGGTGTATTGTGCAACCATACCAGGCTGGGCAGGTTCACTGTTAATTCAGGCAAACAAATAGAATCTTAGAACCTTAGATATATCTGACATGCCTTTAATGCTGAAGCAGGGGACCCTCTATTCAGACAGGAGGGCAGGCTGGTAGGCAGAGCGAAGACCAAATAGCAACTGAGCATCCTAGCCCCCTTCATACTGTCATGTACCTATAGTTGCATAACTGATACATCGTTGCACATGTAAGGCCCATCTGTTTGCTGGAAATCCAAAAGGTGGAAAACAATTGATACATTTCAAGATTACAGGCTATCTGTTGTTTGGAAGGTAAAATAGGTACTGAATTAGGGCCTCCCTCCCTGGTGATGTGGGGGTTAAAGACACAGCTATCAAGCTATGTCCAGCCACTGCAGCATGAGTTCCATCCCCAGCTGGCCAGGGAGCTAATCCACATGGCGCAGCAGTTCCCCCTCGCTGCTCCCCTCCGCAGTGAATAGACCTTTTCTGCTCCCCACTCTGCTCTGGTGAATCCTCTCACCTCTTGCACCTCTGGTCTACACCCTAGTTCTTGTATGCATAAATAAATCTTAAAAAAAAAAAGATACTGAATTAACTCATTTTCCTTACAACATGGTAACAACAACTAGAAGCAGTTTCTTCTATTAGAGCCTCACTATGCAAGGAAACCTGTTGAATAACAAGGTTCTTTATACGCTGTGGGGTAAAGGAAAAAGCTTCAGGGTCTTCACCCTTCCACCGCATAAGTGCACTTGGCCAAGCTGCATGGCATGGTGCCAAGGTGGGAGGAGCGCAGTGGAGTGGACGGAGAGTGTGATGGAGAATAGCAGAGTTCCAAGGAGTGTGGCAACAAACAGTGGAGAGCATGAAGACACCAACACAGCTGCTCGAACCGAAAATTAACCTACCCAGTATGGGATGGTTGTGCTACATACACACTGTCCAACCATTATGGTAGCCATTGGCCATTGATGGGTCCTGAACATTTAAAGTCTGATTAGTGGGGCTAAGAAACTGAAAATCTTATTTTAGCTAAATTTATTGTATTTTGACTGAGGTAACACTGGTTTACAACACTGTACATGATTTAAAGTTACAGTATTGCACCTCTTCAGCTGTAAGTCGCCACATCCATCCCTAGGACACCCATAGCCCTCCACCATAGTCTGTTGTGTCTCTTCCCCATTTTCCTCTTCCCCCACCTGCTTATTTTTGTTTAGTTTAAATAGCAATACACAGCTACTGTATAGGACAGCACTGGCCTGGAATATATGGTACATATAAGATACTAATAAGAAATGCAACTAGAATAGAAGTTCTGCAGAAGGCAAGAACCCCAATCACCTGTTCAGAATTATGTGCACAAGCTTGAAGCTTCAGAGGCAAATAAAAATTTGTCAGTAAATGAAAGAAAATATACTTATCACCAGTAATTTTTGAGACACAGAAATTACAATTTTCAGAATAGGAAGCTGCAAAATTCCTTACATCTTCATTGTATTTATCTGTTAATCTTCTTTTTCTGCTTAATAACTTTACGGAAGGTCCCATGACTAGAAATTATAGTTATTTCAAGTTGCATTCCTAATCTCCCCAAAATATGTGACCTCCTGTGGAAGACACTAGTTGAGTATCACTGCCCCTCTACCTTCTTCCTTGCTATTAAAATCCTGATTTTATTCATATAGGACATCAGGAGGGTAATTGTTAACTGTTCTAAATTAGTCATGGTAATTTCTCCAATTTGCATTAATATTTAGGAGTTGACATGTGACACCATTTGGGCCAGTAAACTGTCCTGGAAGTCAGTCTGGGCTTCTGGGAGAGGCTGCCACCTCTTCAAAAGGAGAGAACATCTTATCCTCATAGGTTGTTGTTCAAGGCAGTCTTATGTAGGTGTTGATGCTGGAGCTGCTGTAGCCATTAAAGAGAGAGGACCATTTCAACTGCTGCCTCTCACTGCACTTCACTATCAAATATGCATACTTGTCTGACTACTGCTTGCTTGTAAATCAGTTCCTCAAAATACAGCCTTTTACTTTGTCCCTACTGTTCCCACCACCTTGCACACTTTGCCCAAAATGTTTTTTTTTTAAAGAATTTATTTATTTATTTATACAAGCACTGGGTACAGTCAGAAGTGCGGGAGGGTGAGTGAATTCACCAAAGCCAGAGCGGGGAACAGAACAGGCAGACTGACGAAATACACTGCTGAGGGGAGCAGCAGGTGCGGCAGGAGAGGTCTGTGTGCCATGTGGGACCTCGCCCACCAGCAGGGGATTGAACTGGCGCTGCAGAGGCTGCGGGCAGCTTTGCAGCCCAGTACTCAACCACGGTGCCACCAGTGGAGGCCCAAGCCCAAAATGTTTAATAAGGGGCCTCTCTGGTGGTGCAAGGGATTAAGCACAGCATTGTGAAGCTATCCGCAGCCACATCAGCATGAGTTCGATCCCCTGCCAGGGCGGTGACCCACATGGCGCAGCAGACCTCTCCTAACTTGCCCGCTGCTCCCCTCAGCAGTGTATTTCAGTCAGTCCTCCTGTTCTGTACCCCACTCTGTCTGTGGTGAATCCTCTCACCCCCTGCATTTCTGGCCTGTACCCAAGTTCTCATATGCATAAATAAATAAATCTTAAAAAATGTTTAATAAAATGGCACTTAATTGTGTAGAATTATTTTTCAGATATAATGGGTGAAAAGGTTTTTTTAAAAATGCAAAATGAAACAAGGATATGTATACTAGTAAAGTACCAGAAGATTGCATTTCCTTTGGCATATGCCAAAGCTTATGAGTAAAATAATCGGAAAGTTATATAGCATATAGGGGCCAAGAACACCAGGCTCCATGGAAAACACTTAGAATATGCCCTTTTAAAATAGCAAGCACTGTTTCAATTTCCCCTCTTCACCTGTTTGGAGATTCAGAAATTCACTTTTGTCCTTCAATTATGTAAATCTATTTGGAAAAATCTTAAAATATTTAGAGGTATCTGTCATGTTCAAAGAAGCTAGTCCCCACTGATTCATCACTCCTGCCCCAGCCCTTGTGTCCTCTTAGCCTCTGCTCCAGTTTTTCTGGTCATTGGAAAGTTGATCTTGCTTCACAGGAACCAGCCCCAATTCTATGTTTGAACTAAAACACTCTCATTGTTCACAAGCT